CAATCGACTAAATTTTCAATAGCAACCAAAAATATCCATTAGTAACGTTCCAATAACGCGCTCATCTAGATAAAATTGATAAATAGCAGATTTTTAGCGATAGCCCCAATCTTAGATCCATAGGCCAACATTAGAGACATTTCCCCTATGTGTGCTACTAAATGCGGCTGATTTCGAGTTGCCGATAATAAAACAGCTGGTTAAGACTAGAAACACTGGAATAAGAGACCAGCGGAGACACTGTTATGATTCCAATCGAACTGTCAAAAGCGGTTCCAATCTGCAATGTTTACAAATGGTTTGCTTCAATTAGGGAGGAGTATTAAAATCGTTGGACAATCACTCATGAACTCGCTCGTCGGTGCATTGGCGAAGTCACTCGCAAGCTGTTACAAATGCAAGTGTTGCCAGGATTGCTTTGATGTTTATCTTGTTGCCAAATTCATGTTTTTTTTTCTCCGCTGGTCTCTTATTCCAGTGTTTCTAGTTAAGACGCAGTTCAAATGGAAAAGCTGCCGAAGGAAAATACTCTACTGACAATAGTCACACTCACCTGAGGAGTTTGGAGCGTTGTAAAAACGTCGATTGAAATAGACAAGAGAAGCAAGCAGCAGATAAATGTAATCGACAGTGAGAATGCATAAGGACGTAATCGCAATGATCGATTCTCTTCGTCGATTTTCTCTTTTGTCAATAACTCGCTTGGATTAACATTTATCAGTGCATTTGTTGTTGCTTTTGATAGCCAATACAACCTATTACAACACTGTATTGGAAAAATTTCAGAAATTTGCTTCCCTTAGCTGTACCAATTTAAAGAGAAAATCGACGAAGAGAACCGATCATCGCAGTTAGGTTCTTATGCATGCTCACTGTTGTAATGTTTTGGGTTCCTTTGTTTTGTTTTCATCCCGTTATTAGCTGTCAAAATTCTGCTGTTAGTTGCATGTCGAAATTTCGTTTGAATATAAGAAAAGTTCTCTCAGAAGTTTTTCGAATATTAAGAGGTAGGGGAAATGGCTCTAATGTTGACCTATGGATCTAAGATTGGGCCCATCGCTAAAAATCTACTATTTATCAATTTTATCTAGATGAACGCATCATTGGAACGGTACTAATGGTTATTTTTGGTCGCTATTGTAAATTTAGTCGATTACTGAATTTATGTATTGGCCCAAATTAGGGGCATTTAGACCGACATTACATCCATTTCTGCTATGTAGAATATGTTGAACCCAAGATGCCATGAATTTCAAGGTAGAAGCAAGTCACGATTTTTGCTTATATGTTTATGTTTGAAAGGTATTTCTGTTAATGTTCCGGGCATTTCCGGGCAGAATGTTTGATACTGTTGAGTACATTAAGGTTCTAACAAATGATCTACGGCAGCCAGCAATTCGAAGTCACCGGGAAAAAACGATGAATTTCGCTTACAAATCAGGAAAAAATATTCTTCGTCCTCTTCTCGAAAAAATAAGATTTTGGACGTACCGTATTTTAGATTTATTCTTCCAAAGCAATTTTGTGCCGATTGTTGAATGAATTCTAGAGATAACACCAAGGTATTTCAGAAAATATGTTATAGGGAGCTTTGGTATGAACTCTAAGTGAGTTTGGCTCACTTATTTTGCGCCAACTTTTTTCTCATTGAGCCTCCTGTGTGCCGGCAGTGCCGACAGTGCCATCAGACTGATTTTTTTGTTTGTATAATGGTATGTTTGGCAACCCGGATAATTTGACTGTTCACATGTTTTGTTTTGAAGAAACAAAACAACAAGCAGTGGAATCCTATCCCAGCTCCTAACTGCCGTGACTCTCGGTTCGTTGCTCCCAAATTCTCTCGGAAAAGGACTAAAGTGAACCTAATAAACAACGGCCTAGGCCACCGAATCGAAGCTTCGAGCGAGAACGTTCTCCGACGGAGGCTCTTCCATTTCCGACAGGATGATAACTTGTACTGGATTGGAGTATGATGAGGACTCGGATGAACCACAGGTGACTGTGGTAAGTAGACGAAGCGAACGTGCATCATCAGAGGAAACCTGTACACCAGATGCTCTTCAGATTCTGATGAACGCTTCCGAAAGGAGTTTTCCCCCGAAATCCATGGACTCAGTCAAAGATGCGTCGCCAGCGTTCTTGTGTGAGTTTCAACCGGAATCAGACTTCCCTGGTGATGGTGGAGTTAAATATGTTCACACGGTCAGACAGTCCAACGATCGGACAAATGGAGATAAGTATGATGTCTCTGGTGAAAAGTAGTGCCGGCCAGAGAACACCTGTAAACGTTGGGGCACTGTCGATGGTTGGAAAGCAAACACCGGTGAAGATTCTGCCTCCGGACATGGTCCGAGTGATCATCGAAGGCGAATTCATCGATGTCAGTTACGATGAGGAACGAATCATGGAACTGAATGTCGGTTAGCTGATCAACGATGTGGTGAAGCGTCGCTTCTGTGCGGCTCGTATTCCATAACCAATCCGTACCTCATAGAGTTCAAAAAGCTGCGTTCGGATCAGTTCTACGAGGATTATTGCAAACATTGCGTTGTTGAAATGCTTACCGAACTGGAACCATGGAAAATACCGGTTACTTTACACTTCGCCGGGACTTCTTCTCCGCCAAGCTTATAAATATTCTATTTCAAGCGCTGGGTTACCACTACCAGGGTCATGTCCGAGAGCTAAACATCATCTATCAACCAACTCACCGATGTCGACTTTAAGAAGCTCACCTTCAAACCCAACAACTGACCAATCAACATTTTACAATTCCATTGTGATTTCAGCTCCGTCACAAATCTCCCCGCCCCTACGTTCCCTTCAATCCCTCCTTCAGGGTCTCGCTATCCCCACTAACCAACTCACTAATCACATTCCGAATCGGCATTGTGACCAGTAGCAGTCCCTTCATGGTCATCTTTTCAATCAGCTTCCGGAACGATGCCACCCCCTTCCCAACTTCGATCAAACTGTTCTCAAACACCAAAGCCTTCCGCACCAGATCCTTAAACAGTTCGAGTGGAGGTTCTCTGATCTCGAAGTCTTCCGGTAGCGACTCCAGCACCATCCGGAAGAATTCCAGTATCACCCCCAGATTACAGTTGTACTTGGCAACGGTCATCGTCTTGATTACCTTGCTCATCCCGCAAGCATACCGCGTTAACTTTCGACCGGTTTCTAGCTAATGTTTCGAAAATATGTGCGCTGTAAGGAATCCATGGCAGAACTTCGCCCGAAATTCACGCTTGAAGTTGTGAAACCAAAAATTGGATTGTGTCAACAACAATGATTAACATTTTGACACATGCACAGATCAGGCGCAAATATACAGTATTGCCAGTAGCTTTAAATATCATGAAAATTTCTAACCATGGGTGCCACTGAAAGTGCCCTGGTGTGCCCATCTGTGTTTTTGACTCATTGTGTGGAGTGACCAACCCCTTGGTTTGGCTAGAACTCAATTGTGTGAGTTCAAAGTAATTTTTGGAAGTAGCTCTGCGGAAAATTCTATGGATATTGTGAAGAGGATTTTAAAATCCGTTTAGAATACCAAGGGAATCTAATTTTGAACGTGCAATTCCCAATTGTAAATAAGAATTGTGAGTACAATTTTATGTTTATTTCTATGATAATTTCAAGGGCAACACGAAAATAACTACTAGATATTTTAAAGGAGACATCCATGTGGAAGAATTTAGGGGAGAACTCCAAGATAATTCCAGAGAACTTTGAGATTTGAGCGTAATTGCTTTTGTAAACAAACACGTTAATCGCCGATTTCTCGTGAATAAAAGAACAATCTCGCGAACAAACTATACCAAATGATAGAAGAATCATTCCTCTACCTACCTGTTTGTGTTGTTAGTTTTTTAGATTGAGCTATAATTCGCGAGACATCGGCAAACGACGTGTTTGTTTACAAAAGCAATTACGCCCTAATCTCGAAGTTCTCCGGAATTCTGAGCAAAATTTTAAAACAATGCTGAGGTGAATTGCATGGGACTTCTGAGGAGAAATCGAGCAAATAAAAAAATGGAAGGAAGCTTCAGTAGTTTTGAAATAGCGTGTATAGCATCGGGTTAAGCCTAAATACAGATCGCAGCGAAGTGAAATTTAAAGCAAGTGAAAAATAATGAAATTTCGCTAGCGAAAAATGTTGTGAAACAAATGATTTTGAACGTGAACCATTTTTCAAATTCCTCTTTTCGCAGTTTACAGTTCACCTGAAACGAAATCGATCAGTTTACACCTCCGGTGAAGTGAAAATCTAACAGATACGCTCTTTCTCGAAACGTCAACTTTTTGTTAGGTGCTGCTGAAATGTTTGTCAATTGCATTTTTTCACGTTGGTATTTTATATGAGATTTTCACTTCGCTTCGATCTCTATACATGCTTTTAGGCAGAATGGACTATGGTTAGTTAAATTTGAAGTTAAAAATACATCGGTTGCACCCACCCACAGCCCATTACTAACGGCACTGACTGTGGCAAAACATGCCCCCACACAGTCGGGTACCTTGACAACGGGGCACTCACCAATCAACCGGATGATGTAAACAACAAACACTCACATTGCGTTCCCCTCCCGAAGCCCATTCACACAACCACGTGCCAAACCACGGCCTGCCTTGTGGGCATCATGGTTAAACTTGGTTACCACTTTAGATGCGACTCACGGAACTCACGGTAACACTGACCTGCGCTCATCATTCAACGCGGGGAACGCTAACCGATTCTGACTGCCACCCACACCCAACTGGTTTTGGCGATAGGAAAGAAAGGAAGACGATATGTATGGATGCTTTCAAACGAACGGAAAGAGCAGGGAGCCGCGGAGCGGAGGATGATGCAAGACAGAATGAAGGGAAAATTTATGCTATGCGACTGTGGACGACCATGAAAATGTTGAGACTCGAAACACTATTGATTTTTCACTTTCCGCACTAATGTTTGCACTTTCACGCTCGATTAGCTTAGAATATTCGACTCTAATCACCTTGGCTAGCATTTTGACTATCTAGAATCCTTGGTCGAGTTTGAAAACCGGAAAAAGAACCGTCGATATCTCACTTTTATCCTTCGAGCTTCGACGTCAAGTTCCGGGGCACACTTTCTATGTTAGGATGTTGAATGCCTATCAAACTCGAAAACTACGCACCAAAATTCGATTTTCAAATTGTACAAAACCACGCACCACAGAGAATAGTTCCAAGAATGTAGCTCGAGTAGAAAAAAAATAACACTTAAGTATCTAGGACAAGGGTGAAGTTCAGCCCGTAGACATCCGAGTCGACTAGAGGAATGAACGATAATTGCTTGTGGGAAGCGCAGTGCCGAGCATTTCCTGCTCTTACTACACCCATTCACGCACGCATACACCCACCACCAGGAGGAGCACTCACGTGGGTGGGATCCATCACATCGCTCATCGCAGCATCACACAGGATGCAGCACTCATTGAGAACGACCCAAGTACAGGTACAAGCACCAATCGACGCGGGCATTTCACACGGAGAACAATCGGAAAGATGAAATGCAACAGGCCCGAGTGGGAGGGGGATGACTCCTGTTTTCAATGTCACTGAGTGCAACTTTGTCTGCAAACATCAGCATCACTCTGGTTGGGTGGTAATGAAATAGGCGAGTGTTCTCGGACTAGATGCAGTAACAATACATTATTCAAAGAGATTGTGTTGCTCTTTCTTAGCGTTCGGATTATAGAGTTGAAGTTCTATATTTCGCCATTGTGCCAATAAAGTGGCACAGTATACGACGATTATTTTAGTTTCTTATTCAAACCTATTTTCGCTAGTCGTATGGGAAGCTTAAAAGTCTTTGGACTGATGCAAATTAAGAAATTTTCGCTCACATTTTGGTTTATTTAAAACTGACTCTGCACAAACCATTGTAAAATGGGCCTGGAATTACATCTAGCATGAAAAAAATAACACTCTGAGATTGCATCCAATTTAGTTGACATCTTCAGTGAAGTTTGTTGGACTAATTAGGACTATAATTTGGTGGATAAAAATAGTTCAAGTTTTAACCGCAAAAATGGCGCAGCGATATAAACTTTTTTTATTTTACAAGATAGAGGTTTGCTGTCTTTGGCAAAGTTGTAGAACGTAACATTTTATAAAAACTTGCTGAAGACATAAAAGCTAAACGTATGTTGTTCCATTTTCTTCTGTTCCTGGGAGAGGGAAAGGGAGGGGTCAAAATCCGAACATCCAGATAGTGTCAAAAAGCACAGTGAAGGATACATTTATTCATACAAACAGGCCGCCATTACCGAGTATGGAAAGCTGGATAGGGGAAATGGATGTAATGTCGGCCTAAATGCCCCTAATTTGGGTCCATACATAAATTCAGCAATCGACTAAATTTTCAATAGCGACTAAAAATATCCATTAGTACCGTCCCAATGACGCGTTCATCTAGATAAAATTGATAAATAGCAGATTTTTAGCGATGGGATCAATCTTAGATCCATAGGCCAACATCCTTCAATCCAGGACCCGATGGCGTTCCGTCCGTATTCCTGCTTGCTGTCCACAAAAAGGGCAGCAAACGGGATGTGAACAATTATCGTGAAATTACGTCTCTGAGTGCAGTTTCGAAGTTAATCGAGTTAGTCATCATCGAGCCTCTGCTTTCTTTTTTTTTTTGTCTTTATTAGAGAGATTTTTAGCCTGTTGGCTAGTTCATCTCTATAAAATAGGAGGCCCTAGAGGGGGGTTCTGCCTGCAAATTTTGTTACGGAGTTGGCTTACAATTCACGTGTACTCAAATAGAAGCAATTAAAATAGATTCCAGTAAAAGACTAACAATACAGACAACGAAAAAAAAAGCAATCTGGTACATCAAAGTTATGTAGGGTTCTGAAAGAGATCGGAGCTCCATCGTAGGAGGGGTAATCCCCCATCCGGCAGAGATATCCCGTCAGCCAAAAGAAAGTTAAAAGGACCTAAATGATGTTGTACAGCCCAGCGTCTTTGAAGAAATAAATAACTGTCGCTAAAGTGGAAGGTTCGTCGCCCATTATGTCCCTAATGCTGTTGGGAAGTGCGTACTGCTCCCGTAGATGTTGGACTGCGTCCCACCAAAACTATATGAGATCCTTGTATGGCCTGTCCTAAGACGAGAAACCACCTTCTGGTCCCGTAGTTTCGACATATCCGTCCACTTGCTCGTCGTTCCTTTGATTCTTCGGTTGAAGAGAGATTGGGATTGGCACCACTCTGCTTCCCAGGCTTCCCACATTTTGCTGACTATCCATCGCTTTATGTGCTGCGAGAGTTGAGTCCGTTCAACGAAGTTTTCTTCGGTTTGCTCTGCGGAAGCTGCCATGGAGAGGAGAGACCCATTTCATCTGCCCAGCTGTGAAAGTCGTTGTCAGCTGATTGATCTGGAGCCTTTCCGAACTAGAAGAGATACCTCTAGGGCCCTTGTAGCTTCACGTAGCAGTAAAGGCCCACGCACATTAGATCCGGATCGGACGAGTTGTGGCAAAGTGACAGCTAAATCTATTGTCCAACTGTCAAATTTACGTCAACGCAACGCAAACGGATCTAATGTGTGTGGCCCTTAACACTTTGTCGGTGGTAACACTTCCTTCAGCAAAAAGCAAATAGATCCGCACGGCAAGAGAGCACGATGCGGACAGAGATAAAGCACTTAAAAATAACGGCGGCTGCGGTATTCAGGCTAAAGACGGGGTGTTCTGTGCTGTACAAAGAAATCGTCTCCATACCATTCAATCCATAGCTTCAAGTCGCCAGCCACGCCATCTGCGGAGGGTCCTTCAGATCAAGTCGATGATGTTTTGAAGAAGACAACGATATTAACTATCTGCACGCTGGATCATGCCATGATAGAGGAATAGAACATCATTTTATTTTCATAGAAACAGAACCATCATAACAGATTATCAGGAAAGCCATATAGTATGGGATCCCGGAGAAGAAGAAAATTGGAAGACTATGCTTCACATACGAAATTTTCGAGGGGGCGACTCTATCTAAGATGCAGGACAAATTTTGCTTTGCTGTTGTGAGATGCTTTGAAGATGTCCTGCAAAAAGGTGGAGAGCGATGCGAGTAGATGGATTTAGATGCAAGAGATGAAAAAAGATTTTTCGTAGATTGGTTCGCTAGCGTGAGATTTTCCGACCATCTAAATTGAGATTTAAATGTGTCGCGCCCCCAGGAAATTTACTGCAGTTACTCATAGCTAATGAGTAACTGCAGTTTTTTTTTTCTCCAAATATGAGTAAATTTCGTATGGAAAGAAAATGCTCTGAGTCGTCAATTGAACTCAGTCGCTGAGTTGTTGTAGTTGGTCGGGTAAAAAGAAGTGGTCGATCGGTGAATTATTGGCAAGAGATGGCGAATAACAGAACCGAGTTTAAAACAGCCACGACCAGATTGTTCACTGAAATGGTGGAATCAGAATACGAAGACTCGGAAGATACTCTCAGCGATTCAAGTAGCGATGATCAACTGAACACCCTGGATTTCAGAGGTTTCTCTGACGACGAGGGTGATGTTTATCCAGGATTCGTCTAATCAGCATCATAATAATATACCATCACGCTAAACTCTGTGATGGTAAAATCAACTAACAACTTCCATTACTTTTCACCAATCTCAATCCGAGTCTCGATCATTATTTTTTTATCGAAACTGCCGCTAGCGTGAATGATGCAGTGGATTTTTTCAGTGCTGCACTGGAAGATGCTATTTTCCGCATTGTCCCAGCTCGACGACCTCCGCTAAAGCCTGCATGGGTCTAACCCACGCCTACGCGTGCTAAAACGTCAACGCTCTGCCGCCCTCCGAAAGTATTGTAACTCTCGCTCGTCGTACTACAAACGACTGTTCAATTTTGCGAGTCGTAGTTATCGAAATTACAATCGTTTTCTCTATAATCGACACGTGAGACGCACGGAAGCGAACCTTCGCACGAATCCGAAAAGTTTTTGGTCGTTTGTCAACTCAAAACGGAAGGAATCCGGGTTGCCTTGTTCCATGTTTCTCGGGAATGACTCGGCTAATAGTGAAAGAGAAAAATGCGACTTGTTTGCTCAGCGATTTCTCCGCTTCGCCAACACAAGTGCTGGATGCTGCTGTTGGGATGCCACGTGATGTGTTTAGTTTCGTTATTCCGCGCATTTCAGAAGACATGGTGATAGCCGCAACACGCAAACTGAAGCTCTCGTTCGCCTCCGGACCTGACGGCATTCCGTCATCAGTTCTAAAACGTTGTGTAGCCAATCTCTGCCTTCCACTCAATCTCTCGGCACAGCAATGTGAGTTCCCCTGCCGCTGGAAACTTTCTTATCTGTTCCCAGTGCACAAAAAAGGAGATAAACGGAATGTCATAAATTATCGTGGAATCACCTCCCTGTGTGCCTGCTCAAAACTGTTCGAGATTATCATAAATGGTGCTCTGTTCGCACGCTGCAAAAATTATATCGATACAGAACAACACGGTTTCTACCCGAAGCGCTCCGTGTCCACGAACCTGGTGCAGTTCACTTCTAACTGTCTGCGATGCATGGATTCAGGATGGCAAGTCGATACTGCGTATATGGATCTAAAAGCTGCATTTGACACGGTGGACCATAATATCTTGCTGGCCAAGCTTGAGATACTTGGCATCTCGTCAACTGCTGTGGATTGGTTCAGATCTTACTTGGTGAATCGCTATGTACATGTCAAGATTGGCGCGTCGGAATCGGATGTTTTCTCAAACAACTCGGAAGTCCCGCAAGGCAGTAACCTAGGACCGCTACTATTTTCGATCTTTTTAAACGATGTCGCCTTGCTGATACCATTAGGATGCCGCGTTTTCTATGCAGACGATACGAAAATCTACAAAATTATTAAAAGCCTCTCGGACTGCTGGGATCTCCAGAATATGTTAGGTATTTTTGCTGACTGGTGCTCAAGAAATTTGATGAGTCTAAGCATAGAAAAATGTAACATTATTTCATATCACCGAAAAATTGAACCAATCATGTTTGACTATGTTCTCTACGGACACTGTCTTGCTCGTGTAGAGCACATAAAGGATCTCGGAGTTACCTTGGACTGCAGACTCACTTTCAGAATCCACTACACTGACATCATCTCCAGAGCTAATCGACAATTGGGCTTTATTTTCAAAATTGCCGACGAGTTTCGTGACCCGCTATGTCTCAGGTCACTTTACTGCTCGCTTGTGCGATCCTTATTGGAGTCAAGTTCAGTTGTTTGGTGCCCTTTCCATGCTAGCTGGATCACTAGAATTGAATCCGTTCAACGCAAGTTTGTGAGATATGCTCTTCGTTTCCTCAACTGGCGTGACCCAACGAACTTGCCACCGTACGAGGAGCGTTGCCGTCTCCTGGGAATCGAGCCATTAGAGGTGAGACGGACGGTCGCTCAAGCTATGTTCGCTGGAAAGCTGCTTACAGGTGACATTGACTGCCCAACACTGCTGTCACAGCTAAATATGTATGCCCCTGAGAGGTCTCTTCGTCAACGCGACTTTCTGTTTTTGGAACCACGGAGCCGGAATTATACACAACACGAGCCAATTCGAGCAATCAGCCGGCAATTCAACAACTTTTTTTATATGTTCGACTTCAATGTATCAGCTGACGTGTTTCGTCATCGGCTACTTGGCCTTTTCCGTACCGTTGACAGTAACTATTTAGTTTAAGTTTTATTCATTAAGACAGTAATTGTCAGTTGAATTTTTCAATAAACAATAAACAACAATAAACAATTATTAAAAGGTATATAATATTTTATTCAATTACTATATTATACTGTCACTACTGTTCATCCTATAATTGTAATTAATTCATTTAAGCATATTCAATTGACCTGCATTGTTATTATTTTGGCTGCAATGTTATGGGAAAAGGTGGGTTGTTTGGGGCATGTGGTTTATTTTAAACATTATAGTTTGACTTGATCAGCATGTTTCACTCACGTTCTGGAATGTCGCCTTGTGAGACTTGAGATTTGGACTTCATAAAAGCCCCTTCTGTCTCGCAAAATCAAAATAAAAAATAAACTTGTGAAGAAACTTAAAATGCAAAATTCAGAAGTTCTGATTTAAGATTTAAACAAAATTTGGATAAATAGCCTTTGGCTGTTCCACTATTGGTGCATTTTCCGAGGAATTTCTCTTGAATTTAACACATGAACATTTTTCAAATAACCCTGCTATTTGAACTGACTTATTTCTGACAGACGAGAAATTCAATTTGTCAAACACCTAGTCGAAAACGAGGTTGAAAATATGTCGTTCGATTTTACGATAATTCAAGCTGAACATTGCATCAGGTTTTAAGTAACATTGACCGATTCTCTTCGTTGACTTTCTCTTTGTATCCTCACGGCCATGTTAAGACTATTATCTGTCTTCTAATACGACAAACATGACAAGAAACGGTTCTATCAACAAGTTATTAACGAAAGAGAAAGTCGATGAAGAGATTCGATCAATTTTACTCTCAGGACTCAATGCAATGTTCAGCTTGAATTGTTTATAAAAGAAAAATCTATTCCCACAACATCAACACAAAATGACGTTTATTTTAATTGTTAACATTTTATTTCGGACAGAATTTTCAACATATGAACTTTAAGAATTAAACAAAAAATAAGAATGTATGAATAGTTACATGGTCATTTTCAAATTATTCAGGCTTGCACTCTTGCCCCTCTCTACTCTATAGATATTTCTGATGATGATACGGTCCAATGCGGCGTTCAACTCACTTGAGCTGCGAATTGAACGACCAGAAAACTGGTCGATGTTCAGCTCTTTCTGTTCGCTTCCAAGCCACTTGAACGTCGACCACTCGATCGGGGGTAAGTTGAATCGATGAGGCCTTTATTGCATTCTCTTTTATTCTCGCAAGCTTCGTTCTGCGGGCGCCTATTCTGCTTCGGATTGTTTATGTTGTGAACCAGAATAACCTGATGTGCCATTTACCCACTTTTGACTAGCAGTGAAAATTCTGAAAACAGCAGAATAGTTAGCGAAAATGATTTACCTTTATAGTTTGGGGAATTAGTTTATCCTCCTCATTACGGAATCTTGCTCCAGGATGAACGCTTGTCGTCTGTGTTTGGGGGATTTCCTCCTGCTACGGAAGGATTACAACATCCACAATCTGAAGGATAAGCTCAGGATGGTGTTCTCGTTCGAGGTAAGTTCGGTTGTGATTATGGGCAAGGTTGTCATGTAGGTAAACAAGTTGCATTGTAGGTACCGCAACGCGAGCGCCTGTCCGAAGTCGTGTGTCCTGATTGTGTGAGAACCCTTTGCAAGTTCTACGACTATGCTAGCAAGGTCAAACAGAACCAACAGCGACTGCTGCAGCAGATTGAGGACGAAAATATGCATAGCGAAACGTCGTCTCTATTGTTTCCTGCCCAGCCACCACCGAGTCAATTGATTCCCGATGATGAAATCAAGGTTGAAATCACGTCGGAGAATGTATTTGCCGAAAACATTTCATCGGCACCGGATTCGGTTCAAGCAGCTAAGAAGCAAAACAAGTCCATCGCTCCACCGGGAAGGTTCCAGAAGAATTTGATCAGCCGGCACATGGATATGACCTGCGACATCTGCCAAGAGGATCAGTATACCTTCCAGAAGCTGGAGGCCCATTTCAAGAAGTACCATGGCAAGCAGTTCTATATATCATGCTGTGGACAGAAGCTGATAAATGAGCAAATGATTGCTGGCCATCTGGATAAGCACATGACCATGGTTACGAACAAAGAAACCAGGGATAGCAGTAATTCATGGGAACGCCGTGTGTCGTCTGCATTTGGATCGATATTGACCGATTTTAAGAAGGACTTGGAAGATTACGAACCACTTCCCAACATGGCGCTGGCACTGAACGGTGACGCTAGAGAGCAGCAGAAACTGTACGACGTTCAGGACTATTTGCTGCAGACTTACTTCAATCTGGATTGTGAGTTATGTGGCTACAAGTTGAACAACCCGGACGATCGCCGAATGCATTTTCGGGATATTCATCCCAAGGAGAAGTACTTTGTCTCTTGCTGTGGGCAGCGTTTTTCCATTCGGATTAGCATAATGCGCCACCTCAATCGCCACTGGAAATTTGTTGCCAACGGGTCGATACCGGGTTCAACTCCGAAAACCGCTAAGTTAGAAACTGAAGATTCACCCGAAATGATAACCCAATCCAATAAAGCAAACTTCCAACGTCTAATGCAAGCAGCCTATGGACCATTGATGAACGAGTTCTACGAAGATCTGATGTTAGGTGGTTTCAGTCCCCCTAGCAAACTGCCCGAAACCAAAACGACAGGCCAATTGAGGCTCCTACATCATATGCAGGATTTTCTTATTGCCAAGCATTGTCCATTGAATTGCGAACTTTGCCATGTCGAAATCAGTACCTACATGGGACGACGAGACCATTTCCGCATTGGCCATCCCAAGGAGAAAATGTACATCCAATGCTGCGGAATCAAGATTTCCACCCGGCAGAAAATAATCATCCACTTGCTACGACACCGGAAGGGTCTACCAACGGAACCGCAAATTCGGTTCGCACCGGAACATACGTACGAGAAACATGAACAGGACGATGCCGTGATCGAAGGTTACTACAAGATGGATTGTGAGATGTGCGACTATACGGGAAGTTCCTACCTGGGACTGCGCGGCCACTTCCAGAAGTGTCACAAAGAGGAAGGATTCTTCATTACGTGCTGCAACCGTAGGATGAAGACCAAGTATCACATTCTGGAGCACATCGCTGCTCACCAGAAGCCAGGTTCGTTGAAATGTGACCACTGCGAAGCCACATTTTCTACGGAACGAATGCGCAAGGCCCACGTCAGCCGTAAGCACGTGAGTGATGAAGAGAAAATCTTCCGCTGCGAGCACTGCGTGGAATCATTTGCCACGAGGAACCTGCTGGTGTTGCACTCGTACAAACACGAACTCATGACTTGTGATATCTGTGGAGCGCAAATGAAGCGCTGCTCGCTTCGGGTGCACAGACTGAATATCCACAAGCTGGGCGAGGAGATCGTATGCCATGTGTGCGCCAAGGTGTTCCATTCGAAGCACATGTTCAACGCCCACTACAGGAAGGCACATTTGGGCATCAGGAAGAAGTATAAGAAAAAGTCACGGGCAAAGAAGAGGCCACCACCGGAAGTGGAATTGGCCGCCGATTTGGGAAATCCAAGCGGAACAACGGCACAGTTGAGCATTGAGCCACTATTTATGAACGACTGAATTTGGGAACATCTAGTCTATAATAGCACGCATCAATTTGACTTCGGTTTGGGCACGGAAATGCGTTTGAATTTGCAATCACCCGTTGTTTTGTAAAATAGGTTTGCATTGATGGAAATAAAGAAGTTTTCACGGTTCCACAAGATTAAAAAAAAAAGTATCGCAATGTAGATTTTCAACTTTTATTCAACTAAACGATACACGGTGATATTGACAAAACAGCTTTCGTCACATCATTCGATCATCTTCAAGGGAAATCGTGTCAATTGTCAGTGACGAACATGTGCAGTTTTTGTTATCATCTAAATTTGTAACGAAATTAAATGAATTAAGCCAAATAAATCCATGAGCCTTCAAGGTTCAAAGTGAACTAGCATCTAAGTTCGTAACTGCAAGGATAACAAATATGAGAAAGAAATTGCACGAAATTACAATTTTGTTACCAGATGAATCTTTGTCATTGACGAAAAAATGAGTTTTTGACAAAGGTACGAGAGTTAATTCTTCCAGTGACAATGTCAAAAATCATTCTATAAATATCGCGTGAAAACTTTCAATAACAATTCTCACAAATATGGACCATAAAAATGCCACAAATGGGAACAATTATCAGCACTGAAGGTAGTCCATGAAAAAAATGAAGGCAAACTAATTATTTAACGGTACCTACTTATAAGTAGCGTTTATTGCTTTTATGCCTAACGGAATTATTTCGAATCAAGTGCCGAATGGGATATGCCCTGTCAGCATAGCTGTTATTCTAGTCACTCTACACGGATCTGAAGACCGCCGCAAAGGTTTAACCCGTTCTTCTTTTCGATCCTGGCTTTTACGCTTCTTTATGCGAGAGTTTTACCGGGTTTCAACTTGGCCCCAACATTCTTGATTCCTCAGTTCTGCACCTACCATGATCACTTCGATTACGATGCGAAACAGTAGCGATGATAAGATACATCCTTGCCTCAAACCAGCTCCACCGTCAATCAAACGAATGATTACATTTCAACGATCATGCCACATTTTGAACACCAAAGAATTGATTTCGAACAGTTTTAGAATTAGTAAAGCGGTCAACTCATTTGCAAACATATATTATAATAATTCACTTTTTCGTCCCCAGTCGAGATGCGACCGGAAGGGCCTACACACGGAAAGCATGCACACATCTGGCAATACTTTAACGTTACTTAATCTGTCCTTAAAATTGATTGAATCTTAGTTAAAAATGCTCAAATTTAACATTTTCATTTGCTTCCTGGTTTATGAGTCTCAACCAGGTCCTATCAGCCTATCATTATCGCGGAAAAACATGTTGTGGAATAGCACAATACCAAGACTACAACGAAACTAAAATCCGCAACTGAAGGAGAACGAATCGTACTTACTACACATAAAGAAGAAGAAGTTATCCGGATCCACGCATTAGTACTTGTGTTTCTTGTGTTTTTCCGAACGTGAACTACTGCTGCCACTGCTGGCATAGCGGGAACTAGCGTAGCTGTCCCTTGCCGACCGAACAGGTGAAGGTGAACTGTTGAAGAAATGTTGCGTGAAATTTCTGGCACAAATCGTAGATATTTACTAGATAGATCACTTACCGGTATCGCCTGCTGTCTTCCTCGTACTTTGAACTTACAATATCATACTTGCTACTGCTGCTAGGATATAACCGATCCCTTTCTCGTTCCCTATCTCTGTCCCGAAGTTCTCGTTCCCGTTCCCGTTCTCGCAACTCCCGTTCCCTTTCCTTTTCGCGCTCCCGTTCTCGCAATTCCCGTTCCCTCTCCTTTTCCCGCTCTCGTTCCCGCAACTCCCGTTCCTTTTCCTTTTCCCGTTCTCGCTCTCGCTCCCGCTCCCGTTCCCGTTCGCGTTCGCGTTCGCGTTCTCTCTCATGCTTACTGGATGAGCCTTCGTATTTTTCGTACTTGTCGTACTTGCTGCTCGACCGTTCCGACTCGTACAGTCGGGCATCGTACTTGGACGACGGTACAGATTCGTATTTATCGTACTTGGAGCTACTCGAGGCTTCGTATTTGTCGTACTTGGCAGCCGCACTGGAGCTGGTGGTGGAACCTCGGGCTGGTGATTCGAGAAGATCGTACTTACTGCGGGTGGCAGGTGAAATGGAACGCTCGGAGTGATGCTTTCGCGATGGGGATCGTGAAATACTTCGGGACAGACGATGCCGACTGGACACTGGTTTACTACTGCGCACCGGTGATGGGGGCGATTCGCGCTTGCTTCGAGTGCTGGAAACGTAAACTGGCGATCGGGACCGTCTGGATGATTTGGTTGGGATCTCGCGAACATAGTCCGTTGATGTAGACCGGCGAGTTTTCTTGTGCTTGCGTGAGCTGTTGGAATGTTATATTGAATGTGTTGTTCAAGGTTAATTTGCGAGAATACTTACACTTCAGGACTGGCACTTCGTTTGGAGACCTTTTTCGAGCTACTGACAACTCGATCGTACTCGTCCGTATCATCGTCGTCAGTGTCGTCCGGACTCTGTTGTGATTGCTGTTGCAGCTGCTGCTGCTGCACGCGGAGTTCCTTTTCGGCTTTCTTGATCAACTTCCGTCGGTAGTGGGCAATCTCTTCGGCCACTGTCCAACCGACGCGCACCTGACGGGCACCGGACTCGAACTCATCCTGATACTGAACGATCTTGACTTCAATCTCACGCAACCGCATACGGCGAGCTTCATCCTGGTCACTGATTAAAGAAACAAAATTCAACACAAATTCAAATACAATACAATGCTTGTCGCTCTCACCCTTTGCCATTTCCCTGCTCATCGTCCGTGTCGTCTCCATCTCGCAGCGATATCAGCGGTGGTTCCGGAGCCACCGGATCCAACGTGTCCCACTTGCTGGTCGTAATGGCCTGTGCCTCGATCTGCGCTGCGTCAACCGTTTCCCACTTGGAAGGAATGAACGAGCCCCCACCGGCTTTACCTTTGGCAATGTCAGCCTCTAGATCCCCTGCCGAACTGGATTGATTGCCGTCCATCGGAATACCATCAATGTCCTCGTCCATCGGCATACCGTCGATGTCCTCCTCGTCGCTGTAGATTCCCTGCTTCAGAATGGGAGTTCGCGTTTCCGGTTCGGTCATTCCCTTCAACATTGCAGATTTCAACAAGGCGGCACCGTCCAGCGGAACGCCGTCTAGATCTTCGTCTTCATTTTCCTCTTCCGGTTCTTCTTCTTGCTTTTCGACCTGGAAATAAGAGGAAAATATGCATCAGGATGAACCTTTCACACCTGCACCTCAACCGGGTCTTACGACAACAATTCCCAGGAAAGTTTGCTGCAACTTTGTGAGGAACTCCTTCGGATAGACGGCCCATTCCTCCCACGCTTTGAAGACGTTCATCACGCGGGTTTTGAAACCTTCCGCCTTCAGGCGGCTGTCTAGCTGCATATGGTAACCGTTGAGGTTTTTGAAAATGTCCATCAAATTTTTCTCCAGCCTGTGAATGAATCAAGATTAGCCAGATCCACACACCTTCCAGCAACTACCCGCATGCTTACGCCTTCCGGAAGAAGCTCGCATTCTGCACCTTGACGCTGCAGTTATGGAGAATGTCCGAAATCAGATAGATTCGAGCGATCTTCTTCTTCACCACCGTCTCGTTGCTGGCCAGTGATTCGGTGATGCATTCGCAAATCTCCTCCGCGGCATCTGCGTGTTCGATGCAGAAGATCATCGTATCGGCAATCTTCTGCCGCTCGGGGCTCAAATGTCGAATGAGATCTTCCAGACGATCTCGTTGACTGTGAGTATGAACAGAAAAAAAGTCGTATTTAGAAGCTTGTACCCACGTCATTTCCCGAAATACTTACGCCACCGATAAATTGCCCTTGTTGCCCTCGAGATCATCATCGTCGGCCAGCAGTTCTTCCGGCATTCCTTGGGTGTAGAAATTGATCGGCGGAGGTTTCCAAATCGACCCACTCTTGAACATGCGGAACTCTTTGGTTCTCCAATCCGAAGCCGTGTCACCCTGGAGCAACGAAAACAGCTTCCATCGGTAGTAGATGTGGGCGGGACTTTCGTTTTCGAACAGAAATTTATACATTGGGTTGTCCATTTCGCGAGTCATTATCAGCGCTTCAAACATCGGACCTTCACGGATGACGAATTCCACCATCCGATGGATCAACATCAACAGTGGCCGTTCCGTTGGGATGACCACCTTCACCAACGCTTTGTACAGTACATCGTCCATCTTCTCCTTCATCTCGGCATCCTCCATGTACATCTTGGAGGTCATCTTTGGAATATTATCCAGATCGGACGGATGTGCTTGTGCGTTGAATGGAAGTCCCGACGGTGGCGGAGGCAAAGTGTATGCCACCAGTACCGGTGGGATGTAGATTGGATGGGTCATAATAGGAACCGATTTACCCCAACCCAGCTTCATTAAATAGTTCATCACTTCTTTTCCGTTCAGTGTCCTCAGTGCTCTCTCCGCATCCCGACGACTCATGTAGGCTACGAAACCACAATTCCTTCCCCGAGCACGTTCCTCCTCCGAGCGAGGCCACATAATTTTGATACTAGCCAATGGACCATACTTACCAAACAGTTCCATTAGCTCTTGCTCGGAGATCTATAATAAGAAACACCTCATCATTCCTACCTAGTAAAAAAACCCAATAACCCCGAAACGCACCTTCGGATTCAGATTACCCAGGTACAGATTGGTTGTGTTTGGATCTCCATTGTCGAACGAACCGGTCTCCGACTCCTTGAAAACCGGATCCGGGTCAATTGACACCGGAGTCATCGATTTCGCCATATGCTTGTACTTGTGCCGCTCCTCACGTTCCTCCTGGATCTGTCTCAGCTCTTCCTTGAAGAGCTCCAGATTGCTCTTCTTCTTTTCCTGCGTTCTCTTTTTGCCCGGTCCCAGTTCTTTCTTACCCTCAGCAGTCATCAACTTAATGTAATCGTTGGCTTTCTCCTGGTCGGATTCCAACTTGGACGACGGTTTATACAGCTTCCCCTTATCACGCACATCTTCCTCTGAAAGCAACGGAGACCCTGGTGAGACACTTCCGGCCGAATAAAACCAACCCGAACAAATATCAAACTTACTTCTCGAACCGGCATCGTATGTTCCGGCTTTCACCCAAACCTTTCCAATCTTGGAGGGAGCTTCTTGAAAGGTTTCAACAAACTCTTTGAACGCCTTAAATTGTCAAGTACGATTAGGAATGCTATTCTTGGCATTTTTTGTGCGTGTATGATATAGTAGAGGGCATGACTCAAAATTGTGTTTCAAAACGAAACAACCAAGTAGTGAGAAATGTGGAAAACTTAAAATCAATCATAATCTAGAGTAGAAAGTAGTGTATGTCTACTTGTTTCACGTACGTGTGCGGCCGCGGCTTCATCCTCGCGCTTTTTCTGCTCCTCGAGCTCCTTTCGGCTTAGCTGCCGCTTGCCCATCGTTCCGACGGTGAAAGCCTGCAGCTTCTGTTCTGTGATTTTCTGCATAGGGAAAAGGAAAACACTCCGACTATGAATCGTTTTTTCTTCGCAAATAGCACAGTTTGCTGGAAATTTCTAGATTCAAACCCATGTACCTTCATTGCGGCTTGTTTTAGACACTAGCAGAATGTATTTAAACTATTTTTTGCACAGACTTTTTGGAAAAATAATTGATGTAAGCAAAATACAATCCATTTGGAAGAGTGAAAATTTTTAGATATGGCGACCAGCAGTAAATGTCAAAATTTCGACGAAAATGTCATAACCGTTTGGTAGCGCTCGCTCAACGGTGCCGACATTGGTAACCATCCATACTGAGGGGTAGGAATGTTTTCTCTTTGCTCGATGCAAACATTCAGCGCGATTTACACTACAGTAGTGTTCCGTTTTTGGCAACCTTAAACAAAGTGTTGACAATTTGAGCAAGTGAATATGGATCTAAATAATTTTAGGGACAAGTTTGAAGACTTTGGCCGATGCCATAGTGAGAGCGAAACGAATCAAAGAGGCGATCGAAGCGTTGAAACGAATGTATCGATCGAAGCGTTGAATGAATAGAGATGAAAGTGTGTGGGTTCGAAAAAAATATCGCTGTGCTCCAAAAACGAAGCTCTTTCAGATGATGTATAAAAAACGATACATTTTTCAAAATTAAAAAACCCAATTTCCAAACCTACGACTGGATGCCTTCCTTCGAATAACAACTGAACTGCGGTAAAAAGCGGTAGAACTGTTTCAAACACATCGTTGGTACTTGAGCGGTCGGCGATCATCTCTTTTTGCCAGTGGTGGCGGGGGGACATCCCTCAGCATCCCTCTCCAAAGGGGGAGTTTGGTAAAGAGAGATGATATAACCGAGTTGTACCTTCCTTAAAAGTTGTCCTAGCTCGCTATCTACTTTCTATATGCAATTTTCACACTGCCGTAATCTAAACGGAACTATCAATTCTATACTTTCATCTCCTCCTCATGTATCGTATAAAAATTACCACTTCAGTCTGTTATTCGAAATAGCATCTTCAACTATGTAAATCGTTGACTTCACGCAGAAGTAATACTAAACATATAGTCAAAGCAGGCATGGAAAATCATTTGCATTCATTTCGTGCATTCATTTACATTCATTTGCCCCTAACTTTTTTCATCAACAGAATTCCGCAAAATGATCTTTTAAGCTTTTGTAGGTTTTGTTATTAGCTACAACTTTTGTCAACAACTCAAATCCGTATCTTTTATGCATGACGAACCAGAGCGAACAGAAGCCAATACTATTTTTTAGTGAATGCACAGCAAAAAAAAATGTAATATCGATCAACGTAATTCAAGCTGATGTATGAAATAATGATGTAATAGCAAAACGCAGATACAATATTACATCAATGGATGTAATTTTGTTCGCAAAATCGATGTACATCGTACAATGTGATATTACACAACCGATGGATTGACCTGGTTGCAGCAGTTTCGATGTAATATTCAACAACTTTTTTTGCTGTGTGTGTTTTACATTCACTGAAAAACAGTAACAAGTTTGGCCCGCTCTAATTCGTGATGCATAAGAGATACAGATTTTAGTTATGAGCATAAGTTGTAGTTAATAACAAAACCATGCCTGAGTCAAAGTAATAAGACGAGTTAATTCTTTACAAAACTAACAGTAATTGATTTAAGTCTGATCAGCAGTTTAAAGAAATTTTGTCTTTTGACAAATTTTGAGATCATAGCAAGGTATCGTAAAATTTTAAAATCAATAATAATTATCTAAATCGATTAATCAGCAAGGGGTATGAACGTGCCGAAATAGGCCGAAGTGAAGGCCGGCGCACAATAGATACGTTTTCGGGTTTTTTGACAGATAATGCATGGGCTAACTGTCAAAAAACCTGAAAACGTATCTTTTGTGCGCCGGCCTTGAGCCTATCAAGGTATCAATATCTCATTAGTTTGGGAACCCTGCAGATATGCTGACATTTGTGATTTTGTTTAAATTTTCATTTTCGGAGTGGGATGAGCCGGATTGGAAGCCGGAAATCTGTGTTGCACATTTATTACATTTATTGTTCATAATTTGGTCAATATTCTAGTGTTGCTTTTGATAGGTTCAGATTGCAAATATATTCATATATTTAAAGCGCGACCGCCCTGTGGTTGTAGTTGGTTCATCTACATGCCCAGTGCTAAACAGCAAACTGCTTAGAGTTGTCAAGAGAGAACCATTGAGCACAAGAAAACTCGCTCTGCAGCATTCAGTATATTCAGCACGGCCTCACATTTTACCGATCGGTAGGCCACCCATCGCATCGGACCTCTTGCGATTTGCAAGTTGAACTAGTGGAGTGATAAAAGTCACGTCGTGTACGATGATTCTCCATGGAAATCAACCTCACTAGTGGCAGAGAGAATAAACCTCTTTCGATTCGTAGAATAGACCTGAATGACAAGCAACCATAAAACTCAAGAGAAAACGAGAAAAAGTCCATACCGGAAGATAATCGGCAAAACCGATATTCGAACCAGTCCGAAAACCTCTTTATGATAAACTTTTTGTCTCTATTGTTTATTCGATTCTGGGTCATTAAGCTGAAGGTCGTGTGGCCGATGAAAGTTTATCAGTTTTAACTACATAACAAACTTGTAAATGTAGCTCAAGTCTGCCCTATCCTTCGTTTCAAATGTAAATTCGGATCGGTTATGGCTTTCATTTTCACTTATTCACTTTCACTAATTCACTTTCACTAATTCAATTTCACTAAAGGCCCAAGCGCAATGACAGCGGAAGCGGAACGGCAGCGGCAGCGAAAAAGCCCGATCTGAGTAAGCCTACTTTTCGGATTGAAAACTAGTTAAAACCAAATCGACATCGGTTATGCTTCTTGATGTCATTTGTGACAACTGTCAAACTTACCGTTTCCGTTCCGCTTCCGTCCACATTGCGTTTGGGCCTAGGTTTGGGCCTTAATTCACTTTCACTAATTCGCATTTACTAATTAACTTTCACTAATTTGCTTTCACTAATTCGCTTTCATTATCACTTTAAACTATAACAGATAACCCTAATAAAAGAGAGCTTAGCGACGTGTTCGGGGTATTATCCAAACAATTTGTGGGATAGTTTACCCATCCGGGATACAGTTCGTTTATGGTACTTGTTTATTAGGGAAGTATTTCGTTTAATACTTACAAACTTCTTCAGTGTCTATAGTCAATTTAAAAAAAAGTGAATTAGTGAAAGTGAATTAGTGAAATCGAAAGTAATACAATTAACAACATCCAAAACATCAGTCAAAATTACCAAATGGAACGTTTTCTGAGCACAACGATCATTTTTTCGATCCAGGTTTCGATCCTATTTACTTCCATCTTGATTGTTTGACACTAAATTAACAAATTGACAGCTCACTCCTTTGCAACCGGGGGTGCTAAGATGATAATTTTTGCATTTAGTCACACTCATTTAAAAAAGTTTCATCTTAAGTCAAACCAAACAAAAATATTCACGTTTATTTTCAACACGAATATTTTTAAAATAAACGTAAAATTATTTTTATTTTAAACATTAATATTACATGACTTCAAACGTGGAATACGTTTGAAATAAACCTTGTTTATTTTTGGGGCCAGAACAAACTGAGTTTACGTTTAAATTAACCTCAAATATTTTTGTTTCAACGATACATTTTTCTGCGTGTTGTGCTTTGATGAAATTTTGTATTTCGATTAAATTTTAAATGCAGGTTACGAATATGCAATTACCTCTTGAATTACCTTAATACCCCGAAAGAATCCAAATAAATGATTATTGCATTATAAGGCTGTCCACGAGAAAGTTGCGATCAGCTGACTTTTTTGTTTACCAAGAACTTTTGACAGATCACAGTAGAACTGACAGTTCACTCTCATATGAATTTCTGCTTTGTTTATGTTTACATTCACCATTATCATCAGATCACTCACACACTCTTGATTTCTAGCTGTCAGTTCCACTGAGAAACGCGAGGAGAAACGTCTCTTGGATCACCTTATTGTTTGACTAACCGAGAAAAAAAATAAAATTAAATAACGAAATTACAATAATTTTTGATGTTGAATTTCGAGTACATTAAAATTTATTATTCAATGGTTGTACGGGAGAAAAAATAAAATTCGTTTTTTAAGGACACAATCTGGGATACAATGCTCAAACCGAGACTCAAACAATGAAAATTAATGCGATGAGATCAAATTTTTTCTTGAAAAATCAGTTTTTTTTTAATTGTTAAGATGCTTGTTGTAACTTGTTGTTAACTGTTAATTTATCAAATAGGGGAATTGGCTCTAATGTTGGATTATGGATCTAAGATTGGGCCCATGGCTAAAAATCTACCATTCATCAATTTTATCTAGATGAACACGTCATTGGGACGGTACTAATGGATAGTTTTGGTCGCTATTGAAAATTTAGTCGATTGCTGAATTTACGTATGGGCTCAAATCAGGGGCATTTAGGCCGACATTACATCCATTTCCCCATACCATGATTTGCATTGTTGCGAACTATGAATTTCCTTGTGATTCATAGTAATCGACAAAAATGTCCTATGTTTTGACAATATATATATCATGGTTACAATAACAATGAAAATCATTGTATTTTTATTGGATTTTTTTTACGGGTACCGATCATCTTCCAAGCTTGGTAGAAACCCCTCATGAACTGCCATTTCAAATGAAAATTCGTTTCACTACCCCTGGTGCGGATACAGCTGCGACAGCAACTGAAAGCAACCCTGCCCATCTGTCATTTTGGAGCCTCATCGGTGTGTAGTACTTCCGCCCGGTAGACATCAGCTTTCTTTTTACTTCTGTCGAGGAAACAATAAGCAACATGAGGTACGACGAGTGGCAAAAATTAAGTGATTTTATGTCGGAAAATAAACGCGAATCGTCGGAAAAGTGTGATCAGATGTTGAATTAAGTAATGCCGGTTTAAGAAGACCCGAATTCGTGCTGGATCCATTGCATTTTGTGATGTTTTTCGGTGTTTGTATTCTGGGGGTATCGACGAGAGAACGATACTGGATTACTTTTGAACGAATGACAGGTTTGCGGTTTCGTGTAAACTCCTGAGTACAGCGCAGCAAAGTTGCGTCTCGAGATGGAAATGGTGGAATTTAATCGGAAATTGCGAATGGTGGTGAAATTCGGTGACCGATTGTTAATTAATGTGCTAGTGTTT